TAGGATTCATTTATATGCAAATTTAACTATCCATAAATTAGGTATGTAGTATTGTGTACAATAAATCAATTATCAATGTATTTTTGCGTTTGTTCAGCATTAAGCACTTATAGGCAGATGCTAAATTCGGCTTTGTACATAAGCCTACAAGACAACAATTGATTATTATTTTACGCAAAACCCTATATACCTATACACTATGTCATTTTTATACCGTTTTTTCCCTCAATATCAGTTTCCTATTATTACATTCTATCAAGATCAGGTGCCTAAATATTGTTTAGGGATAGAAATAAATTTCGTATCGGGTCGTTAAGGGGACAATATGTAAAGTACGATACCACACATCTTTACAGCTACGCTATAAAATAAATAACGTCTTTTATCTTTTCGTACACAGAAAAATAGTTACTATGGTTTGTGTATTTATGTGTTATTTTTGTATCTTGTTTTCTATGTTGCTTAATTGAAATTAAATGTAGTATGGAAGAAAATGTTTAAGTTGCACTGTTATTTTATGTACATACTAGCTTCCGCCAGCGGCTTCACTCGCGTGCTGTGTTGATAAAAAGCAGCCTATAGCAATAGAACAAAATCGAAGTGTACATAAAATTTGTTATTAATCGTCTCATTTTTATGGTAGCATTTCCAATGGCTAAATACCATATTACTTAACAAGTCTAAGCTATCCGTCCGATCATAGATATAATGGTATGGATCTAACTAATAGTATTACAAATATTGCATAAAACCTATTACATGTATTATATTATACTATATTGTGTAACTTTAACCATTAAGGTTACACACGCAACGGATACTTAAAAAAGGGAGTAACTTCCCGTTTTCCCAACATTTCCCTTCACTGCTCTGTTCCTATTATTTATAGCGTGATGAAAAGTATCCTATAACCTGCCGGGGAGTATAAAGAATAATTGTACCAAGTTTTGTTAAAATCCGTCGAGTAGTTATTGTTTCTATAAAGAACATACAGACAGACAGACAGACAGACAGACAAAAATCTTACTGACTGCATTTTTGGCATCAGTATTCATCACTTATCCTGGTAATTATTTTGAAAATATATTTAATGTACAGAATTGACCTCTCTACAGATTTATTATAAGTATAGATGAGTGGGATCATTTTTCCTTTAGAAATGCGTTACAAAAAATACAAGAATCCTCTAGACAACATCACGTTCCAAACTCTTAAAAAAAGATGCGATACATGTATCAATACTTGTTATCGAAATTACATATCTAGTATCGAAAAATCTATAACTTGCAACATAAAAGTTTTTTGGACTTATATTAAAAACAAAAGAAGTAACCACAGTTCATATCCTTCAATAATGCATCTCAGCAACGAGAGCGCCACTGACGGCCAAGGTATCTGCAACCTGTTCGCTAAATACTTTTCCTCGGTTTATAGTCAAAAGTCCAATATAGAACCAATAACTACCTCGACACGTGACAAATCATTTCTGACATTAAACAACATAGTTCTCACTGAACAGAAAGTCTTAACAGCTCTTAACAGACTTGATTGTGCGAAAGGAGCTGGTCCGGACGGCATTCCTCCATTACTAGCTTCTAAATGCTCGAGAGCCCTTGTAACTCCGCTAACTATCATATTTAACGAGTCATTACAAACCGGCATTTTCCCACATCTATGGAAAGAGTCACTAGTCGTTCCAATTCACAAATCGAATGACCAATCATTAGTAACGAACTACCGCCCTATATCAATTTTGTCAGTGTTTGCAAAGCTTTTCGAATCCTTGGTGCGCCCTTTCATTACGTCACACTTGAAACAACTGATTTCTACCCAGCAACATGGTTTCTTTAAAGCTAGATCAACAACGACAAACCTTATGCTATTTGTCTCGAATATTGCTAATCACCTAGATAATAGAACAGAAGTGGATGCTATCTACACAGATTTCGCTAAAGCATTCGATAAGGTCGATCACTCAGTCTTAATCAAAAAACTTTCAACATACGGTTTGCATGGAAACTTTTTAAATTGGATAGCATCTTACTTAAATAACAGACACTCTAAAATCGTGGTGAGTGGATACGCTTCTGACCCGTTCCCAGTTACATCCGGGGTTCCCCAGGGATCTCATTTGGCCCCTATTCTGTTCACAGTATTCATAAATGATATTACAGAATATATCAGACACTCAGATTGCTATTTATTCGCAGATGATCTGAAAATAACTAGGGCGATAAACAGCTCTCATGACATTCAATTACTGCAGGAAGACTTGCACAATCTACATCAATGGTGTCTAATTAACAAAATGACCCTAAATATAGAAAAATGTAAATGCATACGATTCACCAGAAGAACAAAAAGAACCCCACTAAATTATAAAATAAACGGTATAGAATTGGAAGAGGTAGAAGTAATCAGAGATCTTGGAGTATACCTTGACAACAAATTAAGATTTCACAAACACATTGATAAAATAACAACTAAAGGTTTCAAAATGTTAGGGTTTGTTATCCGCAATAGTAAATGTTTCAAAAATTCTTCCACAAAAATTCTATTGTTTAAAACATTAATACGTTCAGGCCTCGAGTATTGCAGTCAGATATGGTCCCCCCACTATGAGATTCACGTAAAACGCGTAGAATCAGTACAAAAGAGATTCATGTGGCATCTTACATACCAAAGTCTTCTTGCAAAGAGCTTACAGTCCTATCCATCACGCTTGTTACACTATAAGATAAACACTCTGCAAGATCGTAGGCTATTACTAGATCACATGTTCTTATACAAGTTAATTAACGGTCATATTGATTCCCCAACGCTTTTACAAAAACTAAAAATTAACGCCCCGAACAGAATACCGAGGTTCCGTAACTACGCGCCTTTTGTATTAACCACATCTAAAAGCAACCTCGGACTTTACTCTACCATTAATCGTTTATGTAAGCAATACAATAACTTGTCCAAAAAACACATCGATTTAGATATTTTTTCAGATCGGCACTCTGCCTTTAAACGTAAAATTCTATCTTCTTTTCAAAAACAAAAACATTGAGCCTTGTCCCCCCCCCCCCCCTTTACGATATTTTATTCAAAAGTTTTTTCTATTTCATACTGTTAGACAATACTGTTAAATTAACGATAACATAGGCTACATCTTATGCATGATGTGGCAACCTATAATTAAGTCTACACTTAGTCATAAATTAATTTAATTTAAGTGAAGCCCATGTATCAGTGTAAGAACTTGTTGGTTGTCCTAATAAATAAATAAAAATAAAAAATAAAATAATAGACAAACCCTATTTAACTAATGTGGCACTCGTTTTTCATGTTAAGCTAGTTAATATTCCATTGCTGAGAAAATGCGTGTTCTACCGCAGAATCTAGGCAATTTCAAACTTTAAATTGAAAATATAAAGATTCTGTTACGATGTTAACTTTCACCAGAAGTCGATGGTGGCTACGCTGACTGGAAATCGGCCCTTTTGAGCCCCATCTGAGGTGGTCTATTGGCTTACATTACGAACACAGATGAGGCACTTAATAGATTTTTTTTTGCTAATTCTTTATTAGACCTTGGTGTTTGACATTGAAATAACATGCCCATACAATTATTGTATGCGTGTGTGTTATAACATTAAAAGTAAGCATTCCATCGTGTTTGTGGATCTCTGCTTACCCCTTTAGGGATTAAAAGCCTGACGTCACGTTGTTACCAACAATTCAGTGAACAGTTTAGTCATTTCACAGAAACGTTTTGAATATTCCTATACATAATTCGGTTCCCAAACCTAAAATTACACGGAAAAGTTGCTAATTCGACCTCTGCTATGCAGTGGTCTCCTGTGTACGTGAATTCTGAACTTAATTGAATGGAAAACATGAATGAATAAATTCCACTGGACTTTAGCTATGTTTATTGCATTATGAGGGAGAATCATTAAATGAGTTGTTCTGTGCTGAAAGGGGTGGTGGGAGTGTCAGACTGTAAACTGACTTAAAACCAGCCTGTTCATTCATACAACCCAGCTTCAAACCAGGCTGCGGCTCATTACTGGTCCAATAACACACCCCATCTGTGGAGGTTTGTTTAGCTTTTTGAGAGGCGCGGTGAATTTGACACGCCGTACGTTTAGATCTGGTTCTGGTTATTCGGCTTCATACCCTTGCTTATCGCCCACAGACCAACATTACGGTGGGAGATTATGGCGACATACCTGACGCACTACGCCTTCTTCTTCGCGAACATGACGGCTACGCAGAAGGAGGACTTCCCAGTTACTCTTGTTCTGCATCATGGTCACAAAGGCTGGGCTCAAAAGGTCGCCGCCGCCAATCGCTTCCTAACCTGAGGAACACCGGGTCTGAGGCGTTGCTCAGCTTAAGCAGCACACCGGTGCTACATGCTCCACCTTGTCTCTCAGATCTCTCTCAGACCTAGAACTATTTTATTCGCGTAAAAAAACATTCATTGGACAGAGGCAGATATGTTTTATTTAATACTAGCTTTTGCCAGCGACTTTGTTCGCGTGGAGTAGTGACTTCCTGCAGATTTTAAAAACTATTCTATGTCCATTTTCGAGTTCCGAACTAAGTCTGTACCAAATAAGTTCAGTAATTTAGGCGTGAAGAAAAGACAGACAGACAGACTGATTTACTTTTGCATTTATAATATTAGTTTGGATTCCTTTTATAATTGCTTACTTAAAATTACATTTGTCTTTGTAATGATTAGTTATTCACCGTAATGTTGTCGTAATTGATGAGTTCTATAAAACAGAAGGCAAAAGAGCAGAAAGAGCACCTGAACGTAAGCGATGAAGGTGTGCATCCAATCTTTATTATTTTGTTACAATAATTGAATATCTGTTCATTGGTACTTACTTATACCTACCTACTATCAAGTAGGTAATAGCTTATTATAGAAAAAATCATTTGAATAAGAATAAAACAAAGCAACAATTTAAGATATACATTTTATTAATACCTAACTAAAAGCGTTACAATTTTATACAAAATACAATATTTTATTGTTTATCAATTATTATGTCGTTGCCTAAACTGAACAAAATTATGCTTTACTAATCTAATTTTATATGAAAAAGTCGTAGGTATAATATGAATATAGTTAATGTATTATTGTTAGAACACGCGTACAAAAATATTGGCACATGTCGTGAAGCATATCGTAATGTTTAGTCTTCAGCCAGCCATATGTCCGATGTGCAATCTCCTCCCGGATATCTGTTAAAGATAAAAGTAAAAAACTTCATGTATTTACATGTCATTATTTTGTGTTTCAAATAAAAACAAACCTAACACAGTAGAACACAAATAAAAAAAAAATGCTTATTTTTTATATATTGAAAATTAAAAACACAAAAATGTTTACTGATATTTGATATACAGTATTGCATAATATTCTCCTACATTTACAATTTATCAGTTAGCAAACAATATCAGATTGTACAAAAAAAAAACAAAATTTAAAAAAAGGAATTATACAAAGAATAAACACAGAATAAAAATATGACTATTTCCATTGATACAAATTTCATACAGGTTGAACGTTAAAAAGTTTCGTACCTCATTTCATGTGGCAGGACCGGGCCGTCCGGTTCGTTCCCGAAGTGAACGAGGAAGTCCGGATCTAACTTCATGCCTCCATTCACCGTGTCCACGTCCAACTTTACTATCCACCCACCCTGGCAATACAATACAAATGTATTCGAATTTTGTGGTACTCAGTAGAAAAATAGTTTTTGGGTCACATTGATTATTTCTAGAACAAAGGGACCGTAATTATATTTTATGCGTTTTATTTCATCGAATTATATGTAACTAGAAACAGAAACGTTAGTATTTAAATAAACAAAATATACAATTATTTTTTATTTTATAAGAGTAATTAAGCCATTATTTACGATTCCATGAATAAAAAAAATGTTCATAAAAAAATATACAGGCGAACATGAAACACGAGAATTTTCGTAACTTGGTTTTAAAATTACAGCGGCTGTCAGTTATTTGTTTGACAAAATATGGCACGTTGCCCATGAATAATTCAAGGATCCCAGGTGACGTATATCTCACAGAATGTATCTTACAAAAAAAACTTTATGCTGCACAAAGGGCGCGAAGGTAAATAAGACGGGGTCGAAGGTTTTGATGTAGGGATAAAAGCTGTTTATTGCGGTTTGCAAGAGAGAATGTCGACGTTACCCAATAAAATACTTTGTCTGCAAACTTCACATACTTTGCAGTGTGACTTTTAATATAGTCTCTCGAGCTACATTTTCGGGTGCCTTGCGTTTAAGAATCTAGACGATTTTTATGTATCGCAAGCTTCTTTAGATTTTTTTACATTTCAAAGGTGTGTGTTTTGTTTTAAATATCTTGCCAGGTAGTTGCTTATATAAAACGTATTTGATCTCTATTATTTACTTTATAAATAACAAATTATGTCTATTAGTGTGTAAAATTTTACCTCTTTTGCCATATTAGGATAAAACTGTTTGTCCCACGGAGAGAATAAGGATGATGAAGCATACAATCGTTTTCCATCAAGTGAGAGCTGAATCATTTGACAAGAACCATGCAATATCTTTCCTTTGACTTTCAGTGGCTCAGGCTGCACGACCGTCTGTTGATGACAAACATTAATTTTATACAGGTTTAACAAAATAAATTAAACATGATGCTCAGCCTAAAGATGAAGGTAGTAATGACATAAATATCTTTTCTGAGGCAAATAACAGCTTTAAAGAATTGATTCGATATTATTCGAACTGCATACAAGCAATGAGATAAAGTTAATGTCAACAAAAACGACAGCAACACCGATAACTTTTATGATAATGCTCAAAATAAATTCGAATATTGTGAAACTAAAAGAGTGTTTGAGTCGAACGATTTCTTTTGAAGCAATAAAATAAATGAGTGAAGTGATAATAATATCGTTGAACGTTAGCACACTGAAACATTACACAAATGGATTGGGCGTTGAAAAGTAATTTAGCAAATATCACAGAGTAAAAACTCAAAATGAAAGGAATGACGCGGCGAAAATGTAATTGTGTTAAGTCATGAAACGTTAATTTCAACTATTACAATTGGAAAAGGTATTTTTCACCTTCGATTCTCTATCTTCAATCAATTTTGTTTCTGGGTCTGCGGCTATAACACCTCCAAGGTTGACTTTTCCAGTCAGTTTTGGATGTTCAGGGTCGGTTATGTCATACTGTCTCAATTCTCCATGTAACCAACTTGATGTGTACAAATATTTGTCATCCAGAGATATTAAAATGTCACCCAGTAAACCTGAAAATAATTTCATACTTAATTTTCTATTTTATGCATTATTTTTTTTAGTGCCATGTGCACTAAACGATATATATTTCTTCGCTGTTGTGTTTTGACGTGAATATACACACATACATACATATTATTATATAATAGGTATAGGTATATTAACGGTAAGTATCACACTAAAATATGCTGAGCTAAGCTACCCAATGACATTAAAGTCAGAATTTTTAGACATGCACATTGCACTCATATCGTAAAATTTTATCACAACATTCTGAAGCGAACAAAATTGAATTTATCGATAGATAAAAATTGCGAACAAACTATTAAGACAGGTGCAAAGAATAAAAATAAAACATGCAAAAAGGTGTATTTATTTTCGAAATTCTTTGAAACTAAATAAAATATCCAACAGAAAGGAAATGTTGGATCACTACAGAAAAATAAAAGAAAAGTAGAAAAGTTACCGTTAATCTCGGACTCAACGCCATCTTTAGAAACTTTTTTCGCTGGTATGTCGATGACTTTATCGGCTTTCCACGTTCCGTCTGATATTTTGTAGAACCTAAATAAAGTTAATTGAAAGCTTTTACTTATTTATTCGTTTTAGTAGCTAAGAAATATTCAGGATCTTGCGCTTTCCCTTCGGTCTGCTTCCTCCATTAATTTACTCAAAGGCAAAGCAGTTTCTAGGCAGCATTAAATAACTTAAAAAAAAAAAACATCTAAAAACACATTTTTGTTCCCATTAACCCTTCTATTTTATTTAAAACGAATAAGAGTGTTTCCAAAAATAGTTTTTATTGAATACGGTAAGTTTTTTTTGAAGTTTTACAAAGCTATAACAAAAATCCGTGCAAATCTCTTACCTGTAAACGTTGGCGTGTAGCGCACACCCAACAAATCCCTGTGCGGCTTTGGGATCATGGAGAAATCTGATCTCTAGGGGTGCGCAGCCTTCCGGGCCAAGATCTATAACTTGCTGTAGCTCGCGCGTTGACCATTTATAAATATTCAACGATGTGCCGTAGTGATCCTTGTCTACTGTATCTTCAGGGTGGAATCCACTGGGGATGAGAGGGATCGCTTTATTTTTGAACAAAAACTTCGTCTATAAAACTATTAGGTTCATACAATTTTTGTAGTTCAGCCTTTCTAAACAACCAATTTAGGTCTTCTAGGAAATTTTGCTTGGTTACGCAATCACAATTTTCTGGAATTACTTTTTTAGTATTCCCGTTTCAAGATGAAATTGTAAAGAAGGAGATAAAAAATATTGTTAACTCTTTCATTAAGATGAAGACTAAGATTATAATTTAAGTAAAAAATAAGAAACATTAGAAATGTTTAAGGTGACCTAAGATGAGATAAGTAGCAAAGGAGATCTGAATGAAATATTAAATAAAATTTTAGCTGTGGCTATAATAAGTTATGCCCTGTTTCATAAACGAAAGGATTATATTCCAATGAATAAGTTTAGAAGTGTTCTGTTTAACAACGTATTTGTTAGTATGGGCTATAAAGGTTTAGTTGTGCGTAAACATAATAGGTTTTCAAGTGTCTAGCGTTGCTAATCTAATAAACATTTTGATGGCTGGTCCAATATTAAATTCAGCAATATCATCAAATTGAATTTATTCTGCGTTAAATTTTAATTATGTATTTGTTGCTTTCATTTTATAAGTACGTTTTACTGCGAATTTCGTATCGTGATTCTTATAAATCAAAGGAATACTCTTGTTTGAAGTATTTAGATAAATGTCGATAACAATCCAAGATGGATAATGCAAATGAATATTTGATATCTTTGTACTCACGTCTTAAATCTTTTAGGTGTGCCCCATTCGGTAGAAAACATCACATCATGATATGGCTGGTACCAAAAGTCATAGCCAAACTTGGCCAGCTTATTTCCTTTAGTCCAGGACCCTTAACAAAAAGAAGAAAAAGATTTGTCGTTTTTATTTTACTATGCGACGACAAACTGGTCTCCCCTTGTATCAATTGTGTGTACAGATGCGATCTCAAATTCACCTTTCATTTCTAAAGTCTTCGAATCGATGAGCACAAAATCCCCTTTTCCGTTTTCGTCTTTATCTCCCATCGTCGAAATCATGATTTCGCCGGTTGCCAGGCAGTGCGTCGTGTGCGGGTAACTGCAGTTGAATGACCTCATCACCGAGCCGTCGATTACCTGGTAATGAGATTTTCGCTATGAGCCCTCTATATAAGGGAGCTGAGAGAATGAGCTCTTTAGCAGTTTTGCCGATAGTAAGGGATTTACATTTAAGTTGGCTATTCGGCTACACCTTTAGGTATTCTCGTTGAACATTTCCAAATTTCGTAAAAATACTGACTGTGTATCTATCTGTTTATGAAAACATTTCGCAATAACTTATAGCGATTATATTGTTTGAGCGTTTTAAGTTGTTTTGAGAGAGCAATAAAGACTTTATGCATAAAATTGTTCTCAAATACTAAGCACACTACTTAAAGTCTTCAACGCTTAAACAGTTTCAGTTTATCCGTGGAATTCTTACGTTTATTATTTTGTTGTACACATCGTCTCTAAATTTTGACTACAAAGTGTTATGTGTAAAAAGGACAAGCAAAGGTCTAACAGCCAATATAACGAGTTCGCGAACTGTCTGCACCGAGTCAGAATGTCGCAAGTTTAACGACAGAAACTGGATGAGTTCGCGAGCGAGCCAGTTGGGAAAAATTCACCATCAAACTATGTGGGCAGTGATTAAGACTACGAGGAAACCAACATCAATAATGATTAGAGAATATTTGGGAGGAAAACTCTAAGAAATTGACAGAATGTTATATGATTAAATGTTTAGCACAAGGTGTAGTTTACTTAAATAGTAATGTTTAATCATATGTATTTATGACCCACCTATTTTAATTCTATGTTTTTTTGTTTTATGTTATCTAATCAGAATTGGCTACTTTTGGGTCCATTTAATCAAAATTAGTTGTGGCTACAGAGTGGCTAGTTACTTAGTAATAAAAAATACTTTTTCATTTTCAGAAATCTTTAAAATCGATTGTTAAAAGTTAATAAACTACTAAACTAGCTTTATAAAATGAAACAAAAATAAAATGAAGACGAAGTTATCAACTTTCAGAAACTGTACTCGCTCCAAAATTAATGATCTTATAAAACCTCTTCATAAATTTGAGAACCCTTACCACAAAATATAACACAGTTGAGATCAGACTTATGAAGTTTTTATCGGAAATTCAATCTTCAAACAAACCTGTTCTATCCTCCCAATTTTTATAAGCACACTCCCTCAGCTTGACTGGCTTCAAATAGCAATATTAATTTATTTACCAAGTTCCAAGAAAATAAAATATTGACTCCATATTTTGGCGAAACAAAATAATGTCGGTACATTATGTATGGTATTTGATGGTACCGAGAATCCCTTTGAAGGCAAAATGTTTATGTAATATGCAATTTATGAAGAAATTGCTGTTCTTATTTATACAACGCTTACTCTAAGCAGGGTTGTATTAAATAAAATTGCATTTCAATAACGCAGTGGAGCATTTTATTTTCTGCAAAGTTAAATATACGCCGGAGAAAATAAGTTTAGATTATGTTTACTTTAGGTAACGTTTATTTGTATTTGGTGTTTGAACTTTTTTAAAAGATTCATTTTAAAATTTTAGAGTTAATTTGTTTTGTAGTTTATTATTTTGATATAAAATATTAAGTAATACCTAAGAGTTGTTTGTTGGACAGGTTATTGCATTTTGAATTTCTGATTCAAACTTAATTTCTCTACAAAGTTGTCTTCTTACTAACCCTATATTTGAGTTTCTAACTAACTATTCTTTGAGTATTATTAAAAAATATTAATGGGTATGCACTTTCATTGATAAAAAAGTTCTTTTAACTATAAATGTGGAATTCTATATTAAAAATAATCATTGTTTTTATTGCCTTGCGAAACCTGACACTTACTACCCACACAATGTTACCATCACCATCATCAGCCAAAAAGTGCTTACTGCTCAGCACAGGCCTATTCCTAAACTGAGCAGGTGGCATGTCTAACAACATAGCCACACCAGTCAAGGAGGATCGAAATTATATTTTACGTCCAGGTTTCCTCACCTTATTTACCTTCACCATTGGTCAGTGATGTCAAAATACACTTAGAAAGTGCGTATAATACGGAAAAGTCATATTGGTATTTGCAAAGTTTCGTACCTTCATTCACGAGAAGCCAACGGACAACTCACAATATCCTAAGTCTAAACCATAGTACTACATAAAAGGGAATCAACACCCTCTTAGCTGATTCAAGTTTCACACGTTTCTGATCATTTATGACCACTTAAGAAAATCAAACAAATTCAATTAGCTGGATTGAGCCTCCTTTCCCTGATTCAATTTCTGCCAATAAATTGATTCGCGAATCCACAGTCAGCTTAAAACAACAAATTTACATAAGGGAACAGCCGTTTGTTTCAGTTTTTATGCTCTCGCAATAAAGTTGTAGTTGCTTTGGAAGAAACAAACATAAAATGTAAAGAATTAAAAAACTTCCCGAGATCTTGTTGATATAAAAATCAGTTTTATGGCTGCTATCCGACGTACATTCTTCGGAACTTTGCACGAACCACAACTGCATTTTTAAGAACCAAAACAAATTGTTTAGTGCTCAATCCTGGACGGGCGCTTGGTTGCCAAGCCGATCGTAAAATTGGGCCATAAATCTAACAAACAATTTAGAAAAAAACACGGATAAGTGCTACGTGTGAGAATTTAAATTACGATAAATGAACGTTCAGGAATCTTGCTGAGAACCAATTTATGGATCCTTATTGATTTATCGATAGATACCTTAATCACCTTAAGCGGTGGTGTTTTAAGAAAACTAAACTGCAATAGATAGTATGCATTATTTTGTAAGAATGTTCTTGCAATTCTTGGGAGGATTTACCCGCTGCTCAGCTTCCATTGGTTGTAGTTTCGAGTTCAAATCGAGCTAAAACTTCCGGGGATTAACGCGTCCTAAAATTTTTTTCCTCTTCACCGTTTTAACTACGTTCATGATAAATCTAGAATCTTACGTCTAATAATCGCCAACAAGCTTATTTTAGACATAATTATAGGTAAAACTCTAATACTTTACCCTCTCTAAAGTACTTAACCTGATACTCCTTATTTTTCAATCCAGCAAAATAAATACTAATTCTAGGTAAATACTCGCTTAACTTTTAACTAATTCTCAGAATACTTTCAAACAGTAGTGCAAATGTTTGCAAAGTAAGTAGAAGTAGTGTGTACTACTTCACAGATAAATTATATTTACAAAACCATTTAATGAATGTAAAGTACTCACTACATAGTTAGTAATCTTCCCGTGGAAACTGAAGCACCAATCAACGCAATTAGGGTCATAACGGCATATGAAGATGAAAGTAAACTAAGCTTGCACGAAACTAAACTCGCTACTTTTGTTCGTGAACTGATACAGGTGGTGTTTTAGCGAAACTCGACTTTAAAGATGAGTATTTTATTTTATTTTAAGAACAATGCTGGAAGATATTTTAATGTTATTATCTTTGGATGTAACTAGCGGACTTTCCTTGGTTTATTTGTTACAAATAGCTCTGTCACATAGGCAAAAACCCTTGCCTTAGCTGAACCAAAACAATTTTTGTAATCTCTCTCATATATTTTTTTTTTGTCTTAATGAAGTAAAATGTTATTCTGTAGCTACCCGTGGATGCCTATTATTGGTTTTTTATCGGTAAATTACATCAATATCACAGTCATTGTTAAACTCGTAACAAAGGTGATGCAAAGAATTCAAAGGATGACGATCGGCGTCGCAACTAACTGCTGCTGTACAGCGTGTAGTGCATATGTGTGTCAATCCACTGTTCCAATATTATTTCGGATCTGGGTGGCTTGTGTATGCGAATTTGTATGTTTGAAACCCACCCACGAGACAAGAGAAAATCCTCCTATAGGGAGCAAGATTATTTTTAAAAGGGGATTAGATGACAACATACCTTATAGTAAATAGTGCACTCACAATGAGTAATAAATAAGAACTATACAAAACAACAGAAGATCTTACTTTATGCATCTTCGGTTTCCGAGGATCCGTGCCGACATCTACGATAAAAACCTTCGCGGACTTCAAAGCAGGTAGAATAAGGAGGTCCCTTTTGAGTGAAGGGTCGTCATAGCAACTGGAACACACGTTCCATCCGCTATGATGGAGCTCGTCACCGACACTACCGGTGGGGGTGCGTGCTATCACCTGTGAAAATAAGATATTTTAAGTGTTTGGTAATAATATGGTCCCTGTCGGGCGCCAATAAGATTTTCGTAAATATAAAATAATAAAGTGCGAGTGTAATACACAAATATAATGTATCCATCTTGACTAAAATGAAACTGGCGCACAATAAATGTGATCGATTCCGCAATTATTGACAAACTTCAAGTGGGGTATCTCCTGGCTAATGATATTGATGAGCACACAACAAAATTCCAAGAACTTTCCTTAATACAAACGTGGCACATACATTATTATAAAGCCTAAATTGTTATTATTTTTAAACTGGCGATCAACTAAGACTTAGTATTATATAAAATCCATAACCTTTAAATCTGACTCTTAAAATTCACAATTTCTTTTAATCAGCGTCAAAAAAGAACATCTAGAAGGAAGCCTATAATCCCGGCAACAAATCCCGGACAATATATTGCATTCCGCTTGTTAATTTAGTCCCGGCTGGTATTGCAATGGCAAAGTACACAATAATACTTCCTAGTGAATCCTGAAATCCCGGGATTACTGGTACGTTATTGCCTTGCGACATTGCCGGACTAAATGGCTGGATGTAAGGTTTTATTCGCTAATACAAAAGTAGTGCGTAATTGCTATTTTCTTGTCCGAGAATATTACTCGTATCCCATGTCTTTTTCCGGGAAAATTGTGTCGTATGCGGACAGCTCTGGGTGCGGTAATTATTTTCCGAACGGCTTGTTGAGATGGGTCCATGTTTCGGTATAGCGTTCATTATTTTTGTTTGTATTCGGAAATGTATTGGTATTAAAAATATTCTCATTTTTGTGGCTGTATCCATTTTATTTTATTTACAAAGGAAATGGAATGTTCATTTTTACTGTATAAGGGATACAATTTACATTTACCATGGAACTGTAGAGTAATGGCCTTCTCATTCAGAAAACGTACGAATTGACTGTAGATGCTGTTGCGATCCTGGTTTCGTGATAGCAATTTGGATAGTATACCCACGTACCTATGGGTTGTAGTATTTTTAATATTCAATACATTATCAGTAAGATAACGCGCAAAGAAATTGTGTATTTATATTAACAACAACTTTTTTATGGAGTAGTTCGGCAAACGCACAGATAGATTACCTGATGGTAAATAATCGGCGCCGCCCATGGACACTCGCATCACCAATGGAGTTAAGAGTGTGTTGCTGGCCTTTTGGGTTGGGCCTCGTCGAACGTCACTCACACGTTTTGTGTAAGACCGTGTTATCACTCCGGTCGAGCTGACCTATTGGTGTTGCAGCTTGGCTCTCCCACACTTGATCTTAGCATTCAATATGTTTTTTTATATTGTTGTACACGGGTGTTCTTGACAAAACAAAAACAGGGACTATATTAAAATAATTTAGCTCATAAAACAAATATTTTCTTGCAATTTTTCTCTAAAATAAAAAACTGACTCCTGTTCTAGCCAACCAGTCTGCATCACAGATTTTGTTATACCACAAGCATCAACGTTTTAGCATGATTGACATAAAACTTCCATAAAACAAACAACAACAAATACTGAATATTCAACGAGAAAAATATTTAAAGTTTTGTTATAAATCCCACGGTTTAGCTGGACTATGAAGGTATTGAATCGAAATGCTATTTTTTAAACCGGCTCAACTCTGACAGGTCATAGAAGCTTATTTGATCTTGTATTCACTAGATTAACTTTGTTAGTACTATATTTTAATACGTGAATAGGAATTAATACCCTGTTAATTTATTACTTTACTGTAACTGTTAGGTATCATTGTTTTTCGTACTTGGAAATTTATATTAAGCACTGTAGATTTTGAATTAAAGTGTGAGTTATATACAAAGTGAGAAGCCAGCCATTAAATAAAAATAATACCTACTATTAAAGTAAACGAAAAGTAAAAAAATAACAATATATTTGGTGATGTAGAGACCGAACTGCTACTAAAACTGGCGTTGGAGCTGCACGGATGTCCAAAAAAAAAAACACCTTGGCATTAGTCTTTTGTTTTGTAAGCAGACCCCTGCAGCACCAACGGGCAGCTAGTTCCTACAACCTTCACTTTATTATAGCAATTTACCAAAAGAATAAGAAAAGTCGGAATCGGTCTAGCCGGTCACGCGTTTGCCACGTGGTTTGCCATGTCTGAGTTTAATTTGGGATTCATTATTAAAGGCATATACTATATAAATGGCTGGTCAAAAAATAAAGATTGAGTCTACAGAAAAAAAGAGAAGACACGAAGAATAGTTACCATTTAACAAGTGGTCCAAAATATTGTAACATCACTAATTAGTAAGTCACTATAACTTCCGTCATTGTCTGTCATATGTCATGGTCTATATCTTTGAGACCATTGACTATATAGGTAACTGTGGCGCAGTAACTGCTCGGACTATGTATTGTAATTGTAAAATAAAACTCAAGTTAACTACGTCCAGGACCTTCATTCATATTACAAGGTGTCAGAAGAATATTACACAAAATAGAGGAGTAAGGGTTACTGTTTTTATTTCTTTATTTTATTTTATTTTAACTTCATGCACAATGAACAGCGGCGGACTTAATGCCTTAGACATTTTCTACGAGTCGAGCCTTGAGTGATGCAGAGATGAGCCAATGCTTGGTTCAAGAAGCAAGCAAACAGCCTTCATTTTTTATGAGTCAAACGAGATAGACACGCCTATGTACATGTGCGTTTTATTTACATAAAAGCTATATATTCATATTATATAGGTAATTGACGGCGCATGCCTCAACATAACATCAAACATCAGGTTGACTTTCAACACTTCTGGTTCGAGACACGGCGTCCGCGCACTACGCTAGTAGCGAATCGCTTTGCATCCAAGTGATTACTGTCATTGTAACGAGGTCTTGTGGTTTTCTCTGCTCACGCTCACCTGCTTAACTACCTACTCACGCACCTACATCATATATGATGAGTTCTGACGAAGGCCCTCCTGCCCCTACATATACAAACTAACTCAAATTATAGTATGTAATAATAAACACCTTTAATTTTAGTGATGTAATTTTTATGCGTGTAATGTAAATGCAAATTTACATTTGGCATACATTTATTTTATGTACGTAACTTAGAATTGATTTACACCTCCACCTCACGTAACTTCCTAAATTGCTGTATATCACCTACTACACATCTCTGCACTACCAAAAGGTTGACTGGCAGAAAATGCTTCTAGCATTAAGTCCTCCGATATACAATTGTATAATAATATAAAGAATAAATAAATAAATAAATGCTGGCTAGTAAACATTGATAGCTCATGTATACAAGTGATGAATTTATATGCAACTCATATCATAAATCATACGAATACAACTGTAAAATATTTCCCATCACTATACACAATATTGTAAGACCTAATCTTAAAACGTAGTAGTGCAGTCAACTTGAAAAATACATGGTATTCGCAAAGTAAAACTGATTTACGCCTCAATAAACTGGACCTTTTCCACTTTCCATTATGTTCCGACATCGTAAATTTCTTAGGTCCGAATAAGAAATATATCCGAACTGAATTTATAACCTTTCTTTGTACCTTTATAAACTTAAATCCTTAACATAGTGATTCGGTCATTCAGTAGTTTTATAGTGTGGCGATATCGTAAAATATTGTCTCGTTTCTATACCTTTTATATGTATACAAGTATATGGTGTATAGTCATCTGTTTGGTTCTTGTGTGTTATATGGTATAACTACATGTTTTTTGCATGCAGTTTATGTGGATAGGTAAAGAATCATTCACTTAATGAAATGCTGAATATGTATCACATATTTTTCTTAAATAAACATGGTAGGTATTAATGGAATAAGCAAAATAAATCTGAGGATAATTTTAATTTATTAAATACATACTTGCGAAAATCATTTAACCCCTATTTTCAATAAATTTTCAAACTTAAAGTAAGTACTAGAAGTATTAGAACTTGATGGGACACTTGGCATTAATAGGTAGATAATTAAAATTACGATAAAATATCGTGATAGTTTCTTTAAAGGGTCTGTTTTAAAATTTCAATTAAATAATAATATATATCATTTGTTATTTTTATAAAGTTATTTATCTTACGTAATGCTCACTATAAAATATATAATATATGCCACTCTAAATTTCTTAAGTACAGATCAATGCGATCCTACGAATACCATACGAATATAACACTACCCCGATATCCATAAATATAGAGGTGTGCCATTTGCGTTCTGGCTTAGGTATGGCTTAAGTTTTGATGTCAAAGACAACACTAGTACTAGATGCGGCTTAGTAAATTGAATGGTGAATTCACACTCATGTCAGTCGAAGAGCTTTTCGTATTTGGCTGAAAACCTTTAGCTAGCAGTAAATCCTTTTCAATAGTTGAATAGTATGATACTTCGCTAATTAGCTGCAATACTGCAAACGCACGTGTCATATCATTTACAAAATCTATTCATGATATAAAGTGTGAACTGTGAAGTGTGAACTGCGTTTCGAATATAACAGTCTAAATACGGTTTTGAATTAAATAATACTAGTTTAGTTTAGTTTTATTTTATTTAAGGCTGATTTTTCAATGGTTAGATAAAAGTTACCTGGGGAATAATTATGATACTGTCGCGTCAGAATTTTTTTATAAGACAGTGACAGCAACATATTTATTACTCAGATAACATTTATCTGACTATTGAAAAATCAGCCCTTAGAGTGCCTTTTAACAATATTTATATAGCCAGTTATAAATTTGAATACAGAACATAAAACAATTGTGCTTATCAGGTATACAACCTAAGTATTGGATACGTCCATAGGAGGAGGTGAAAAAGGTGCTTATTAAGATCAAAAAGTTTAGACCTTTAAGAATCTAGCAATACTGATAAAACATAAAATATGATGTTTAAATTTTTAAAATAATATTATGAACTACTTAAAATATATATTAAATAGAATAGTGAAACACTTACCTGACTGTACGTCGGTGATTTGGGGTCCACGTCGACCGTGGCTAAATAGTCTTGCTTAGTTTGGTCGGGTTGGACACAAATCACGTAAAGCAGTTCTTCCCTGGGCCCATTTTTGAAGGCGTCTAAAGGAGACGCGTAGCCTGGTCCATGAGTACCTAAGGAAAAAGAAAAAGAAATGAAGAATCAACGTAAATGAAGGTGTAACGAGATTAAACACTAGTGTTGTTGTAATGCCTCTTTGAAGGAATAGCTAATTCGTTTTTGATAATAAGTGCAAACTATAGAATTGAGGGCCTACCATCACTTTTTAAAGAATGAATCTTTCAGCTGAGAAAGAGGAATGGAGCTATAAAAGGTGTATAGCTCCATCCCTCTTTCTCGCTCGGAAGATTCACGCTTTAACACTTCATGGTAGGCCTACTGAACTGAATTAACTCTGTCACAAAACAAAGCACACACTAATTACTTACAATGATAATCTATTGTTATAAGCCAGTATGAAAACAGACAAAAGTAAAAATATTAATATTAAAACTAAATATTTTTATATAATTAAACTACGTAAAACGTTCATGCCATAGGGAAGTTCAGAACTTTTCGAACCAGCGCAACATTTTCAAAAACAAGTGGAACTAATTGCGCCCCTACTTTGTATGCAAAAATGTTTAAGGCTTTTTTTTTTTTTTTGTGAGGGGAAAATCATCAAATGACTTCTCCCGCCCAGGGCCGGGCAGGAGGGAGTGTCAGACTCTTACTGACTAAAAACCCCCCTGTTCCTTCTCCTGCTCTGTGCCGAGGTCGCGGTACCTTATTGCGCTTACCCCGCAGCCCCGGCTGAACATCAGCCCTTTAGGGCCCCGTCTGTGGTGGTCTATTGGCTCTTTGAGGCGCGCGCGGAACGCTACGCGCCGTACGCTCGGGCCTGGTTCTGGTCGGGCGGCGAGCTGCCCTTACTCGCCGACCGCAGGCCCGTACTTACGGTGGCCGGAGATCGTCCCTCGATCCCCGACGCCCGTAGTGTCGCCAGTTGCGGCTGCTGGGGCGTGAGGAGGAGGATTGCTCCCTCACGCGGGCCGCCTCTCTCTTTGCGAGCATGACCGCTTCACAAAAGGAGGAGACGGCGTCCCAGTTCCTCTCACTCCGCACCATGGCCTCGACTAAGGCCGGGCGCGAGAGGTCGCCGCCGCCGATCACTTCCCTGAGGATACGGCGGTGCTCAGCCCAGGCAGGGCATACCGCTACCGTATGCTCCACCGTATCCTCTAGGTGGTCCTCACAATGACGACACTCGGGCGTTTCCTCCCGCTGAATCCGAAACAGGAACCTACCGAAGCTGCCGTGCCCGGTAAGCACCTGCGTCAGACGGAAGGTGAGGACGCCGTGGCGTCTCTCAAGCCACTCCTCAAAGAGGGGTCTTACCGCTGCTATGGTAGCGTGCCCGGCCCTCGGTTGCGACAGTCGTTGTCTCCACTCTGCCATGAGATCTCGCCGGAGCTCATTCCGCCACGCATTTATTTGGCGCGGCAGAGGATCTTCGCCCCGGCGACGCGCGTCTGCGCGCAAACTGTAGACGCGCGCGAGCGCCTTCGCTTCTAGATCCCACGGCGGTGATCCGGCAAGGAGGTTCGCCGCCTCCCCGGAGATCGTGCGATACCCGCGGATTACTCGTATAGCCATGACCCTCTGGGACGCGACCAGCGTACGAGCCGGCCGCCGCTTCAAGTCCGGCGCCCACACAGGGGCACCGTAGAGGGCCATGGATCGCACAATCCCCATATACAACCTCCGACAGGAGGCGTTTGGCCCCCCGAGGTTGGGAAGGAGCCGCTTGAGCGCGGCCCCAGACCGTTCCAACTTAGGGGCCAAACGACGAAAATGCTCCGTGAAGTTCCATCGGCTGTCGAGGACGAGACCAAGGTACTTCATCGCCGACTCGACGCCGATGGTAACTCCTCCTGCCGTTACTTGGGACCCACCTGGAGGTGGCGCGCTCCGACGGCCATAGAAGCACATGGCCTCGGACTTGTGGAGCGCCACCTCGAGTCCCAACTGCCGGATCCTTGCAACGACCGTCGCAACCGCTTGTGACATCAGGTCGGCCGCCGCCTGATGCGACCTCCCGTTCGCCAGCACCAGCGTGTCGTCAGCATAGCAGACAATGCTGACGCCGCTCGGGAGGTCGGTGCGTAGCACCCAATCGTACCCGATGTTCCACAGGAGAGGTCCCAGGACCGATCCCTGTGGGACACCGCGCGACACCTCTCGCCGATTCCACACGCCCCGGTGACCGGGGTAGATGACGCATCTGTCCGTCAAGTAAGCCTCGACTACACGACGGAGATAGGCAGGCACCCGGTGATACCGGAGTGCCTCCAAAATGCAGCTCCAGGGCAGCGAGTTAAAGGCGTTGGCGATGTCCAGAGACACCGCCACGACGACTCGCCTCCCGGCCAACGCTGTCCCCGTCGTGAGGTCCCTCACGCGCATGATGGCGTCCACCGTGGAGCGCCCTCTGCGGAAGCCGAACTGGCCGTCCGCTAAATCCGGCCCCCTTCCAGACAGGTGCCCGACGAGGCGGTCTGAGATTATCCTCTCGAACAGCTTTCCCACCTCGTCGAGCAGCACAATGGGCCGGTACGCGGACGGAGAGTCCGCAGGACGCCCCGGCTTCTTCACGAGGACCAGTTTACCCGTCTTCCACGACAGCGGAAACTGGCCTCTCTCCAAACATGCGCTGAACAGACCAAGTAGTCGAGGCCTGAGAGCCTCCGAGGCCAGGACCCAGACCTTGGCATGCAGCCCGTCAGGTCCTGGGGCGGTATTCTTGCCGCTCAGCCGGCGCACCGCCACTCTCAAATCTACCTCGGTCACTTCCGGAGCGGATTCGTCGTCGTCGTCGATGTAGCCCGCATTGGGCACCGCAGGGGGCGGGGGCATAGCCGGAGGCGTGTAACCCATCTGTGGTCGGGGGAATAGCGCCCCAACCACTTCGTCCACGACCTCCGGCCGGAGACTCTGAGTCAGTGGGGGCGCCCAGGTGCGGAGCTTATCACGCACCATCCGGTAGGGGCGTCCCCACGGGTCTCTGTTCAGAGTCTCCAACATCTCCTCGCGGGCCCGATCTTTGGCCCGCCGGATCTCCACCCTGAGGGTGGCCTTCGCCGCCCTGTACTCCTCGTATAGCTCCGCCTCTCTGGTTTCAGCGTCCAGAGGGCGGAGACGGAGCCTGCGGTGCCTGGTGTATCGGCGTCGCGCTGCGGTGCACTCACCGCGCAGGTCTGCCAATTCCTGCGACCACCAATACACCTGGCGCTTGCGTTGGCACGGTCGGATCCGGGGCATCGCCACGTCGCACATCCTTGACATGGCGTCCTGGAGCCATCTCGCCTCCTCGTTAATGTCGGCTGGCCTGACCGGTGGTATCACCCAGGCCTGCACGACTGCGGCTTCCAGGAAAAGCTCCCGGTCCAGTTGCCTAAGCGCCCAACGCGGGCCACACGGGGCCTGTCTGACTGGCGGGTCTGCGGACTCGGCGGAGACGTCGAACCGTATATACCGGTGGTCCGAAAACGTCTCCACCTCCTCCATGACGCGCCAGTCAACAACGCGCGATGACAGAGCGGGGCTAGCAAACGAAATGTCCACCACTGACTCGCCCCGCATCCGTACGCACGTGGGGACAGAACCCCGGTTCAGCACGACTAGGCCTGTCTCCAGAGCCCAGTCTTCGACCATCCTTCCCCGGACATCAGTGAGCCGGGAACCCCAAGCCAAATTCTTGGCATTGAAGTCCCCGAGGACCAACACGGGGAGGGGACGGAACCCGACGACGACGGTGACTAACTCCCTGAGGGAGTTGTGGAACTCGACGAGAGTTCGGTTCGGAGAGAAGTACACGCCCACCACGGCGATCTCTCCGAACCGAGCCGCGACGCAACCCCTGCCTCGCTGAGGCCCTTCGGGGGTTGGGGTACCGGCGGCGGCCGACGAGATGATGGTCACCGAGCCGTCCAGGTCTGACACCCAGTGTTCCCTGGCTGGAACGAAGTACGGCTCGGAGACCACAGCAACATTGATCGACCACTGCGCCATGCTCTGGAGCAGGAGATCCTGAGCAGCGACGCAGTGGTTGATGTTCGCCTGGAGGAGGCGTAATGGAGCCATTATTGGGTATCCATCACGACCTCCTCTCTGACGGCAGCGGCGACAGCAGCAGTCGCAGGGGTGTTGGCGACTGCGGCGGCAGCGGGAGCGACGGTGGGAGCGGTGGAGGTGGCTACGGGCCTACCTTTGCTCCTGGGTTTGGTGGGGGGGGAGCAGGTTTTGCCCCCAACCCGGTGATCAGCCGGTTTGCCAGCCGCCGCACATACTACGCAGTGCGGCGGGGCGGTACAAGCGCCGGCCCTGTGACCGGGCTGACCGCAGCGGAAGCAGCGGTCGCTGCGGTCCACCTCTGAGGTGCACTTGGCACCCACGTGGTGACCCACGAGGCAGCGGAAACACCTCAAAGGTCGGGGTTCCAGGAGCTTCACCTGCGCCGAAACCCAGCCCACCAGGAGCCTTTTACCCTCTGCCAGCTTTTTGGCCGCTGTGACGGGGCAGCTGACTACCACAGTCCGCAGCCCCGTATTGTCCGGGCGGATAGTGCCTGCCTTCACCTGGTCAGCAGGGCACCCCCCCGTCCTGGCGACAGCGGCCGCCACCTCATTCTCCGTCACGGAGTCGTCCAGGCCCATGATGCGTAGCTCCAGGCATTTGGTGGGCCTGGACACGCGAGCTTCGTCCGCCGCAATGCACGCCCTGAGCCTCTCGGCAAGGGCGTCAGCGGACGGGCCGCTGGCCGCGCCGGGGACCTCCAAGAGACGGGCTCCAGTGGCAGTGACCCTCACTGCGAACCCGTCGGGTGCCCCAAACTCCGCGGGAGTTACCGCCCCCTTCAGTTTGGCGAGGACCTCGCCATACGTCACCCCCTTTTTCGCCGCGTCCGGCTGTAGTGTGATAACTACAGCCGAAGATTTTGGGGCGAGGAGCATTGCCGCAGCGCGCTTCTCCTTGCGCCGCTGCTGTCGCCGCTGCCGCTGCTCCTTCTTCCGGAGCTTCCTCCTCTCCTTGGCGACCTTCCTCACCTCCCCCGCCACTTGCCACTCGCTGCCAG